TGGGCTTCACGAAATGCCGAACACATAGCCAGAGAAAGTTTCAGGTTAAAAGCAGAAAGACGGGACGGTAGTTCGAGAATAGGGAAGCGTCACCACCTTTTGAGATAGGAACAATAACCGCTTTTTTCCAGAGTGACAGGAAAACACTCGAGCGGAGTGTCAGGTTAAAAATGTGTTCCAAAATAGGAATGAAGAGCTCAGCAAACCTATGATAACATAGCTTGGCACACCATCGATGCCAGATAAAAACTGAGGTTTTAACTTTGTTATCGCTTCTGCAATATCACTAAAATTTACTCTCATAGCAAAAAATATTGTTACAAGTCAGCTGCCGAAACCGCCCGTGAACAAAATGCTGACGACTAGAAAAAACATTTTCTAAAATAATCCACCAAAACACTACCAACTTCAAGAGCGCCGAGACATACTACTGAGTGCTATCTGAACAGTCACTAAAATATAATTTGGATTGCGCCAGGTGTATGTTTCTTTGAGAATTTTTAGAAAGTTTTCGGACGGCTAAACTAGCTATTTTCTACGCTGCCAAGATGTAAGCACTTATTGTGCTTCAACAGTCATCTCCGCCAATGCACAATATAGGCCAAACTTGGTATTGATAAGAGAAGAGCCGCCGTTTTTATGAAGTTGATGAAAAAATTATTTATTGAGTGAATACTAATGTAAATCCTTGGAGAACCGTTCAGGATATTTGGATTGTTTAGTTGAACGCTTCGGCATAAACGTGTCGATGGCATTTTTAAAAATTGTCGTTAAAGTCTCGGTTGCACAATCATCATCAGATATTGCTTGAACAGTGGAACACTTAGAAGTTTCAATAGATCTATACAAATTCAGAAAGTCTCCGTTTTAAAAACTGTAGGCGTATGGTCTCGAAGATACCCATGGTTTCTATGGAGAACAAGACTTGACGATTAAAGTGGATGGTACACGTCAACTTGTGCCAAAGAATTGGACGCAAGACATAAGCTTAGAATTGACACATTTGAAAGAACCATATTTAATATGCTTCCTACGCTAGTTGTTATCCAATTGAGTTGTTCAAGACAGCTGAAATTATTAAACTACAACAAAGAAGAGGCCTTCCTGAATTATGTCATGTTTCTATTTTTACTGTTTATAATGACCACTCTACACCAGAAAAATTAAAATCTCTGTATATCGGAACACGAAACTTGTCCAAAACGATATTCTTTCGCAGAGATTCAAAATGTTTAATAAACATGGTTTCGTCAAATAGAGGTGGAAAATAATACGTTCCTCTTAGGTAATTGAAACAATCCTTAACTTTAATTTTTACCCGTACACATTCCGAATAATATTCAATATCAAACTGCGTATGCGATGCAAAGAAACCTTAGTTGAAACAAGAGTGCCACCTCCCAACTTTTGCCCTGTACAAAAATAGTCTCTATCTCGTCGATATACCGTGCAACCGGAGTTGAAGTAATTTGTGACTGATATACCATCCCAAATCCAGAATTTAGAGATACAATTGATGTCATAATTTGAGTGTAATAAATTGTTCATAAACTCATCGGCCTTATATCGCAAGCTTCTACAATTTAAAAACTAACAGTTTGCGCCCCTTTTTGGTTTTTACCTCGTCTACAGTATGAACTCAAAAGCTGTCGAGTGGTCCGAAGAACTGATGCAATAAGCCACCTTCCGGCCAAGCTTCGAGGTTGTTGGTTGCATTGAATACTGACTCGTCACCTGCGAGGTGGACGAAGAACACGTGCCAAATCTTGTTAAGATTTTCAAAACGATAACTTGTTTCCCTCTATCAAAGGCTCAATTAGCGCCTGAACATAATCAACACTCGTATCCGGATAAAGCATAGATGAAAAAAGTGATAATTGGTGATTTACCCGAGGAACAGCGATCACCTTACTTTGCTTAGCAGCTTCTGTTGACGGCTTTGCTCGTCATCAGGGCTTTTTTATGGTGACATCATCGTCGAAAGTTCCTGCAGCTTCAGCATCATTCGAAGGACTTGATTACACACTCAGACTACCTTGAATCGCTTGTGGAACTGCGTTGGGAAGTGTAGAAGTCGGTCGAGAATTTGACACGGACGCTGATGCAACATTTGACAGTGCGGGGATGGACGCGTTAAAGGTTGATGAAGATGACTGGAGTTGCATTTGTTCATAAACACTTTTACGGAAATGAAGCCCCTCAAAGTGAAGGCTGTTGTTATCCGCTCAAGGGCACTTGAGCTCAGCCGTCACAATGTCCAGTTTGCAGGCCATGGTTTCCAAAAGGCGTAGTACGTTGGGTGGAACGGAGCTGCCAGCGAGCGACTTCGACGGTTCAGCGAACGGCACTGGAGCAGGAACTTCCCCTCCACTACGAGTAGCGGCGTCATTACCCAGTGACATGCTGCTTCTTTGGATACAGCCGGAGCACTTGAAATCACTCGTGTCACTTTGAATGAAGGTATTGTACTCTGCGGTGCCAATTTTCAAAAACTTACAATGAAAACGGCGATTGCAACCCGCCGCGCACACCAGAAACTGTTGCTTGCCGTAGAAGCCGCAGTTTAGATGCCGAGCGATGCGTCTCAGTTCTCAACCTTATTATTGTTATTTAACTAAAGCTTGATTTGAAACAAGCTTTCCAGCATAGATCTAAAGGCGGGTTGCATAATTTTGACCTTGTTTTTATGCATGCGTAGGCCACATCAGATCAGAGTTTATTTGCTCAAAGATATCCCAATTGGCATACATTACATGAAGGGGGGGGGGGAGAATGAATACAACATTCAATGCACAAAAATAAAAGGTAAACAGCAAAACAACAACAAAAAAATGAACTTATCACACCTTACAAATGGGAATAACAAATGTCGTGAAATTTATTGGCATCAGTGTCATGGCCGATGTGAGGTTTTAGAGCGCAGCTCTTAGGGGCCCGTTTCCAGCCTGAGCGGCGTCGGCGTCGCCGTTGGCGTCGCCGTTGGCGTCGCCGTCGGCGTCGCCGTCGGCGTCGGCGTCGGCGTCGGCGTCGGCGCAACCGCGCCCCTCCCTCCTCCTCCTCCCCCTCTTCCTCCCCTCCTCCTCCTCTTCCTCCCCATCCTTCTCCTCCTCCCCTCATTGTGTAGTATGGTCCGGGCGGGTCGCGCGACCTCGGGGGGAGGGGGTCACATGACCCGTTTCCAGCCTGTGCGGCGTCGGCGTCGGCGTTGGCGTCGGCGTCGCCCCTCCCCCTCCCCCTCCTCCTCCTCCCCCTCCTCTCCCGCCAAGGTCACGTGACCCCGGGGGGTGACTCCCCTCCCCCCGCCGGTCACGTAACGGCCCGCCCAAAGTCATGTGATCCCGTCCCCTCGAGGTCACGTGACCCCCCGGACCTCTGCCCTCCTCCTCCTCCCCCTCCTCCTCCTCCCCTCATTGTCTAGTATGGTTCGGGGGGGGTCACGTGACCTCGGGTGGAGGGGGTCACATGACTTCAGCGGGGGGTCACGTGGCCACTCCTCCTCCTCAAGAGCTGCGCTCCAATTCGGCGTTACAGGAAGTTGTAAACGGCTTTCACTTTTTTTTTTCCATATTTTCCTAAATAGGATATGTCTCCCATCATCTTGACATTCACTCATTTGCTTACCACATAATTTCTTTTAGCCAATGTTTTAATATGACTGCGTTGATTTATTTTATGTGGGCCGGTTTCTCTTTACATTACCTAAATATTGGCTTAAACCGACATTTGGTTAGTTTTTATGTAGTTTCCGTGTTTTCAATATGATTGCCTGTCAGCGCGATATTTTATTAAAATGGGCTCAAACTAGCCAAATTGACTATGGGCCCAAATCGTCTTCCAGTAAGTTGTAACATGCATAGATTCTAATAAAAGAAACATTAATTGATTGAATAAAACACTAAACACACAAGTTGTACATGTGCTCCAGGCACCATATATTCATACGGGACTCTTCAGAGTCCTGTGGCGACGCTTGAGGACTTTACTTAATAGTCATTTATACTTTCCAATATGTGAAAAATGACTTGATGGTTCCTGCTTTCTATAGCTAGGCCATTCTAATAATCTCCTTCTGCGCGGTTACATCTTTATTACAGGACTGCGGACCGCGTTCTGAGAATGTGCAGGGAGTTCTGATCTGTTGAATATCATATTCCGCGTATGAATCTGCAGTTCAGTGACTCGACACTTTTTTGCCTCGCTGTTAAATGTTTAAGAAGTGTATATGGTCAGGTCGATCTCGGATTGATCGGCGCAAAGACTCTCCTGGAAGCAGGGGGACTTGGTTGAACCTCTTGGGATAGAGGTCCCACGTCATATTTCATATTTGAGTCACGCTTCGTTCTAACTGCGCAGCAAGTAATCTTGCTAAACTCCCCCTACATTCGCGCTTTTCTTAACTTCATTTTTGTTTGGGAAAACCGAAAGTCTAATAACTAGAAACAATGACATTTACACTCGAGGGTTCCCGGTTTTTACTAATAGAAACAGCGAAAAGGAACGGTGAAGTCGATAGCGCGCGCACCCTTCTTTAGTTCAATGTGTCTTTCCTTCGACCCGGTCATGGGTTAAGGCTTGGTTAACACCATAGCATACTGTTGTTTTTCATTGTTGTAAACCTTTTTAATGTTGCGCTATTTGTTTGCTGTTGTATGTGCGAATGCATATGATGCACCCCACTTCTACTTGGGCCTTCAATGGCCTGTAGTGTCCTCTAAATAAAAATGAAGTATGTCTTGTTCCGCTGAGACGCATTAAGAGATGGCGTCTCGTTCACGTGCACAGTAAAGCTTTCTGATCACGCCCAAATTGACTTTGGCCTTGAATTTACGGAATCTAAAATTCTGAAACCTGCTTAAATAGTTCGCTGGGCTTTACTTCGAAATATATTTGAGCGTGTGCATGCTTCGTTTCGAGACTATATTTTCTAGCTTTTCTTCAATTTGCGCGACCGGTGGCTTGACGTTCGATTGTGAAGTATTTTTCAAAACAAAACGAGCACGGAGACTGCTGAAGGACAAGGGAAGACGTCATTCCCTCTGAAGTTTATTTTGTTTATTTCGTGCGTCTTTGGTTTCAAGTTTGGGTAATGTTGAGTTTCCGCAGCTCTTTTTCGCCCACTTTGTTGAAGATGGCGGTCATGAGAGGGTTTTTGGGTCCGCAGATTCCTCGAAAGTCGTCAAGATCGTTGTTGAAGACCATGACCCCACGGTACCCTTCCCCGATGATGAAATCCATCTGTAGATCAATTAGATATCATAAATAGCCCTTATGAGAGCCATCACTCTAAAAAAAAAAAAAACTTTTGTGAGTTTACTTTTTTGCAGAAGACGGAGAGAGCCAACGCTGGAGTTCAATAAACGGACCAGAAAAATAAAGCTCAGCATACGATTATATAAAAAAGGACATATACTTGGGTACATTAAGCATGACGTTTCCCTTCATCATTGTTCCTGTGCATATCGTCCTTTAGGGATCTAATCGTATTCTAAGTTTCACCATTCGTTGAAACTCTTCCGTTTTTTTCTTTTTGCCGTGATTGACTGCCTCCGTGCACTGCACAAATTTGAACTCAAAAGATTCTTTTTAGAGTCATGTAGAATAAATTCAGCAAATACGCCTGATAAATGTCACACTTTCTTTGCACAATATCCCCTTCTTAGTTTGAAGCCCAAATTGGCTTGGTGAGTTAGATGTACTACACCGAGCGGATCTGTAAACGGTGAACTCGACGCGAGGAATCGGCATAGAATGTGGTGAACCCAAACCCGTGAGTTTGGGGGATAGCCCCGCAGCAATGCTTTCGTTTATCAGGTGCGCTGTAGCAAGACAAGAAAAAGCACGGCCTCCACGCCCTGCGCGAAAAGAGAAGTAAGGGCCATTCTAAGCAGGTCTTGGGAGATTTGGGTTTTCTTTATGAACAAAACGTTGGTCAATATTGCGTTAGGAACGCAGAAGCTATCTTTGACGCGGGCTTACGCTTTTCACCAGCGATGAGTGGCCAGGTAAGTGATTTGATTCAAATTTTATCTATAGAATTGTTTGTGAACTTGGTTAGGAATTTGGTCTTTTTATCTCTATTTCTTCACCCAACTAGACAGATTTCTGTCTAAGTTGTTTTCGTTCCACACTCTCTCCTCGTGCTGTATTGCATTTAACTCCTCTCGTGGGTCATTGCAGCTTCTTATCTAGGAGATGGAAGGGGATTAAATATGGAACTGTTCCCGGACATCTTGAAACAGAACACCGAAAGACTAAAATGAAGCTCCGGAACCGCAAGAAAGTCCCCAGGAATAGACTACACTGTCGATCCCACTGGCAGCTGACCTGCCGTGGGATGGCCAGTGGCGGAGCTTAACCGAGCTACCGTTTGCACCGACCGAAGCGACAATCCCGGGAGTCCCTCCCCCTGCCCCCCCCCCCCCCCCCCCTCTCCTGCGGCGTTGTTTTGCTGAAACTTCTGATTGTTGCGTCTGCTTCACTGCTCATTCTACTACTAAAACTATCCATTAAAGCTCTAAATTAGTTCTCTCTCCACAGAGGTTCCTCGGCCTGACAGCCGTCAGAGTGTGGCTAAAAGGCGTTTTGTTTTCTAAACGCTAGCCCCGTCACGCTGAAAGCAAAAATCATAATTTAGATTCGGGAAATATATGACCAAGATTAAGCGAGGACGTGGTTTCCGAGCTCAGCGCTATCTGAGAGAAGAAAATGAAGCTATGGCAAGGCTATGCTGATAAGGCGCGCCAGAGTAACATTTCAGTAACAGTATTTTTTTTGACGCGGCAGCGTTAAGGAGCTTGTATCGCAAAAAAGCTGGCGTCGGTGGTGTTGTGAGGGGAAAATCCCAATTGGTCGATGGGGTAATGACGTCACAGCCACATGACCTCGCGCGGGAATTTCAAACAACCCACAACGCTTACGTGAAACTTGATGTCACGCGTCGAATGAAAGTTGATACAAATACATGACATGTAACGCTAATTAAAGGTCGCCGCGTGTCTCAAGTGATTTCATTTTATAAAGTAATTTATTGGCCTTAAAAAAATTGAAGAATTTTAGGCTTCATTCGAACCAACGACCCCTCCGTTGCGAGCTAGGCTGACTAGGCCATGTCCGCCGCACTTTCAACACACTGGTGGGAAGAGTATAAGACGCGAAGGATAAAGTGATGTGAACGGGGCCCGATAACGCAACCGTGTTCTACTCTTAAAGGCGAAGCTTGAGCCTGCTCCAAGTTTTGCAGTCATCCTCTGCTTGGCCCGTCCATTGTGTCTAATTCGTCGCTGATTTTGGCACTGTGTTCCGTTTCATTTTAAGTGCGCTCGTTATTTTTGTGCGTTTTCTATCACCGACTGAATCAATCACGCACATTCATTCTGCGTGTGATTGGTCTAGCCGTTGAAAGAAAGCACAAAAAAGACAAGAATCGCCGTTACGATGCACTTTTAGCGCTGCATAATTATCTCTATCGCACCTTAACTTGGACTCCGGTCCGACTTGACGTGAAACGGAGTATATGACATGACCATTTGGCAGGTAAGGCGGAAGAAGCTCACGCGCATTTCAGATGACTTCATAATTAGTTTGACGAAACATGTAACGCTCGAATATAAAAAGAAAACAAAAGTTCACCCGAACAAGAAACACCAAAACCCTTTTAAACCTGTCGCTCGTTGCTTCCTCTCGCCTTTTATTGCGGAGTGCCGTAAGCTCGGTGTACAACCAGCGCCGGAAAGGTTTACTCAGCAACAGCCAGTTGGTCAGGTAAGCGGCGGGTAGCGATGACAAAAGTTGAACAGCCACTGAAGCACACCGGTCGTGTGCGTCATATAGCACTGGAAGCTAAAACCCCCTGCTGGAAGCCTTGGAAGCCTGGCCCTCGCTTGGACTTTATCGTGTTTTCCGCGACCGTCCAATCACCATACCATAAACTCCATAATCGCAGGAAACTGCGATAATTCGGCTTGAGAATAATGCGTGTGCACGCAATCTTTTTATTTTTTTGGTTGGAAAAATATGATAGTAATATTTTCACTTGCCTTGTTGGATACACTTTCCTCGTCCTCGTATCCAATCCACTGGTCCCCATGGTAGGCGTACGGGCACTTGGCTTCTTGGTCAAACACCCGGGTCCATGCACCGGACTTGATATTTGGACATATCTAAGAAGGAAGGCCACGAGAAATGGCGATTATGTCTCCGCCATGGAAAACCCCCTCCGAACAATCTCTTATGAATCAGCATAGCTGTATGAAACTCGGTCGAGTTTACACTGCCTACTATTACTGTCCCCGTTTGTTTTGCCCATGTATGCTTTGGACTATCTTGCTCAGTTTTCATTTCTTTAGCCAACACAAATTCGTTTTTTTTTTCTGTACTCGTTTTCTTGTGTTTCTTGCTCAGTGCACTGTTTTTCCTATATTCTTCTTTTTTTTTTTGACACGAAAGCAAGCTGAAGGATGTGGGAAACGGTAAGTGTAGCCGGCCTTAGTACGAGTGGTACCCAAAATAACTTGATGTTCGAAGTTATTTTTTTCTTTTCTAAAGGCTCGGAGGTACCCGTACACGGTTTTCAATACAAATATACTATCTTAGCATGTGTAAAAACTTAACTACGCACTATGAAGATACCTTCAAACGAGCGAATCGTCAATAGGCGCGATAAGAAAATTATTTTACTGTTGCCAAAAGGGAAAATATACAGTATAGATGCCGACAGAAAGGAAAAAAAAAGGATGGCAATGCAAATCATGCAAAGATGCAAGCGAGCTGAACAAGAATAACGATAATATTGTCTGGAAAATGGGGACAAAGGGCAAACACAAATGAATGAATGACGAAAGCTATCTAAATATTGAGTTTATCTGCTGCTTCATTGTATATTATTTTCATTGCTGCTCCATGTATCTTATTAAAAATGATATGATGTTACCAGCCGATCAGTGATCATGACACGGCTATGTGTCATAATCATGCATATGTCGGCTTGTGATCAGGCGTAGAAAATAACGCCATGAATTCAAATTTCAGACAAAAGCGACCTCAAACCCATTGTAAAGCATCTAGCTCACTGGAGCCGTGGAGCAGGATTGCTGAATAATACGACAAAAACTGGAAGTGTGTGGACGACTTGAGGGTATTTAAGGCAGGCCAACAGTACCTCGTAGTATCCCATGAGCTCGTGTGAGTTGACGTAGGGTCCGGCTTCAGCCCGGCTGGTGGCCTTGATACGTGCCTTGACTCCGTGCTTGGCGGGATCTCGCAGGACGTAAGTTCTTCCGTAGAATGCTATCCCCAGCATGAGTTTGTCCTTTGGTGCGCCCAGGTTGACAAGGCGCCTCATTCCTTCCGACTGGGATGATGAAGAAAAGCATCATGATCCCTCATTTGGATCAAATCGAAAAAAAAAAAGAAAAAGATAAGCGCACAAGGATCGATTGAACGGGCTAGGCAGATCTGTAGATTAAATACTGCTTGTACAATCAAATGAAATACTATTACCGTAGTCACTCGAAAGTAGTTCGACCTTTTTTTATAGAACAATACTGCTTGTAAACGTTCCTACAGAGTACAAAGGTTAACGATCAGCGATATGATTCTGGCTACCTGAACGTCACTTTCGTGAGTGTTGCAGAATAGGTTTCGGGTTTGAGTAAAATGTTAGCTTTGCAATGGATGTGCAGCGATTGAACGCGCCGCATCGGACATACGTGGTAATTTTATTTACTTTTTTAAAGGAAAAGGTCGATTTATTTTTGGGCATACACGGTACTAGCACTATATTGGCGCTACGCAAACGTTTGTAGATGTTTTAGCGGTGACGAAGGAAATGTTCTGAAAGAATATGCATCACAGACAATACAATGGTAAATGGTGGGCTAAAAGACGAAGGGGAAACCGTTGATCGCTTTTTCAGACGGGAGAGAATGGTTCGTCGATTTTACAGAGAGGTTTTTAAGTCAGCATCAGCGCCAGAAATGCAATCTGGAACCGCAAGCTACAGTCGGCATTCCACTCTCAACTCCAGAGTCTCGCCCGCTCATTAGGAGTGGTGCTGTCACCGAATTACAGATAACATCCCACTCCGTAGGCTCAATCGCTGAAGTCCTCTTTTCGTGTGATTGTCTCACCTCCTCCTTTACAGATCATAACAGTGATCACAAAGGAAGAGTTCGCTACAGCTGTTTCAGCTCTACCTTTCGTGTGTTTGTTTTGTCTCGTAGCGTCTAAACTTTCCAAAGCTTGGAGATTTATGTTGGAATTCTCAGTGTGTCGTTGTTATTATTACTTATACGCCGCAGACAATAAAAAAATGTATGAGTTACACAGCTGAAGCCTAGGGCTTTTCATTTTGACAACTAATATCTAATGACAGAAAAAAACCTTGGGGTTTTGAGGCGCTGTTTAATGGAACAGGTTACTTGATTGATTGCTTGGTCAGGCTTTGTTAGATGAAAATGTTTGCGTTTTAATTAGACATATAAATGACGAGTTGAAACGAAGGATAAGAATGTCATGTCTTCTCACGAGTATAGCAATTTTGATACCAGCTCACCTTACCTGCCGTTGTCATAATTTAGATATGTTTGTTTGGTTTAAGTCACGGTTCATATTGCAGCTGTTTATCTGCACTGATGAATGCGGTTCGTTCTTACTGTTTAGCGAGCTATATATTGCAAAACTGCCTCTCCTAGATTAAAAATATGATAAAACATCGAACACAAAAAACCGTTTACTTACATTTCAAACGAAACCAATTATACCGTCATGGTTTTTCGCGCGTCTCTTTAAGGGACATGCATTCTATAGAAAATTGTTTTTGATGGCATATTGCTTCTTGGGGTTTTGTCAATAAAAATGGCAACTTCTAGACGGCAAGACGTCGTAGTACAGTGAGAGCAATAGAAATACACGGGAGCCATTTTCTCTTGGTAGGAGGGAAGGGGAGGGGGGGGGGGGTTGATCCTCTGGTTTCCACCATGTCCATGAAACTTGACCAATGAAAATAGTTCATTGCGTGGAGATTCTGAACGTTACTATTATTGCTATTTTAGGCGCGTTGTGCATTACGTTCTTTGTTCTTTGGGTGTAGGAGAAGTAATACAGCAATTAATGTTTGAAAACGCCGTCTGCCAGTGCCCCTCGTGTCAGCTCCACGACGCATAAAGAGGGGCGTGCCACGATTTTTGATTTTATTTTTAATAACGAAATCCTCCACCCATGACTGTAGATTTGTTATTTTTAGGATGCTTAGAGCCCGTAGATTGAGCTATCATCATAAATAGACGATCTCAGTCCCCACTTGAGTGCCTCTTTAAGCTTTAATATTAGGAGTTTTTCAGTCGCTATAGCCATTTAAAAATTGCACAGGCAAAAGGTGAGGTGTGGTTGGCGCTAGGCAATGCAAAAACAAAGAAAATATAGTGTTAAAGCCTACGAATTGTTTTTATCTGTTACTGCACTCTTATTTCGCAAATACATGCTCAGCGAATCATTACAAAGCAATTAAGCGAGTTTTGATACAATTGTGGCATTATTGTATTTGACTATAATTTATAATGAGTGATTCGTAATTGATTCGACAATTTTAGTTTCTGGAAGACGTCTCCCGGGTTGCACGCACAAAAACGCCTCACATAGCACAAGCTTGGCAACCCTAGAAGCCCAACTACTTTCTCCCAATAGAGTTTAGGTCCAAGGCCTTAGTTAGTGCCATTTTACTTGCATTTGGCGTTTTCATGGCTCATCTCTGGCTCGCCAGATAATTGCCGAGGTGCAGCACTTGAGCCGAAGACATAAAGCATAAATCTGGCACTTGTTTTGCTTTTTAGGCCTAAGGTTGCCGCATGAAAACCAAACAACCAGAAGTGACAACTAAAACTCTTGCACTTGTTTGGCAATTTAGGCCCAAAGATACCAGATGACAGCCAAACTACAGAGAAGTGAAGCCATACTTGGCCACTTGTTTGGTGATTAGGACCAATATACACAGACTCTGGCCAGAGAAGGATAAATTTGGCTGTACCCTGGCTTCCTCGGGATTTTTATAGCACTTAAATGCCAGACAAAAAAAAAAACAAAAAAAAAACTAAAACATTTTAGCTAAAGAACGTGATTCAAACATCTGATCAAAGCAATTTAGTCGTTACAATTTTGCCGCAGTATAATTTATCTTTGCCGCCCTATCTCGCGTTTACCCAAGTAGAATTATTTTAAATACACTTAAATTGTCCATCACATATGTGTCTTTATCAGAGGAAGAATGCCGAGCTCGAGTCAAGTCACAATGATATTTATTGGTATATCTTCGTGGTTACAGTCAAACACACAGGAAGGATTATCCTTAGAAGTAGCTGGCAGACGTTAGTTCTGTAGAAGCAGCATTTTTCATAACGTCATTGAAGTTCCTCTCGAATATATACTGCCAATAAATAACTACCGTTTTAGTACTTGTAATTATTTTTGAAGACTTAATATGACAAAGGTAGTTTGAAGTTTAATTATTCGAGGCAAGGTGCGTTTGTCTGTTGTATTTCATTAAGAGATTTTTGTCGAATGGATTGTTACATTCGTCAAACGTCGAATGAATTTCGTTCCACTAATTATAAGATATTTAGTACGGTACGTGCCTCCAAAATACTTAGAATATTTCCTGTGACTATTGTTGATACAAATAGCAATCTATTAGATATAAGATTAGGATGCAATTCAATGCAAACGTGCAAGCAAGCTGGACAGATTGACGAAGATAATCCCTGGAGAAGGGGAACAAGAGGGAGAAAGGGCATTCACAAATCTCCAAACACAGCTAGGTGACTGGTGCGTGGCCGAAAAAAATCCGCCTGCTCCGGGAATCAAACCCGGGACCTCTCCATTTCCAGTGGAGCGCTCTACCAACTGAGCTAACCAGGGGTTAGACGTCAGTAGAGCAAACAGAAAAGGCAAGCCTTTCACCCTTGTTGGGTGTTAGACTGGTGGCAGCCGATAAAATCTGTTTGCTCTACTGACGTTTAACCCCTGCTTAGCTCCGTGCCGCCCTGTTATAATTGATTAAAAGTGCCGCCCTGAAGTTTTTGGTCAAGTGTGGTGCAGAAGGAATAAATACAAATAAAAATGACTGCCCTGTTATAAATACCCGGCTGCATCTTTTTTGAATTCATCACTGGGAAGCCAGTGTGATCAAAATTGCTTAATAATCCAAAAAGTAAAAAAAAAAAAAAAAAAAAAAAAAAATTAAAAATTACTTATGTATTTGTTTTTCTGTAATGCGAAAGTAGGGCGCAGCGCTCCAGGTATTTCGATTTTGCGATATTCCGTGGTACAGAATTTGAAATATATATATACATATATATATATATATACACACACGAGGAGGGTACGGTCTAACACCCTACAATGCAACGCGCGCGGTGTTTGGTTTGACGTGAAACGTTCTTTGGCAAGTTGCTCCGGATTTAGTGAAGCCGTATTTCGTGAAGCAGTGGCCTGTGACGTCAGATGACGTCCCAGTTTCCCCGCTAAATTTAGCGGAAAAATTGACGTCACGTGACCTCAACACCAATTCAGTTCCCCCCCCCCCCCCCCCCCCCCCCAAATTTAACGGGAAAAACGACGTCACATGATTTCGTGCCACCAAACTTTTGCCCAAATTCAGTTTCCCTGCTTGATTTAGCGGGAAAATTGACATCACGTGATCTCAACACCAATTCAGTTTCTCCGCTAAATTTAGCGGGGAAAATGATGACACATCTCTTCACGTCACAGTTTTCTCGCCAAATAGCGGGAAACTTGACGTCACTGGATCTCAAGAGCAATTAATTTTCCCTGCTGAATTTAGAGGCAATAATGATGTCATATTACTTCATGTCACGTGGCATATACACAAATTCAGTTTCCTCACTAAATTTATCGAGAAAGTTTAGTCAAATGACCTCAACACCAATTCAATTTCCCGCTAAATTTAACGGGAAACTGAATTGGTGTACAGATCTGTGACGTCCCATAATGCAACGCGCGCCGTCGACACCGACACCGGCGCGAACGCTGATGCCACTATATGCGGGAATGGGCGCGGAAGGGCTACACTGGAATATTATTTTTCGGCAGGGACGGGTTGGGGAGGGGGGGGGGGGGGCCTCGACCCATATTACTCCCCCTTAAAAAAGAAAGAACAGTTGCGTACGCCGCTGGCATGAAGTCAGTGAAAAATTTAGGAAAGAAAAGTGTGTGGTATACCTATACGTAATTTGCAATAAATATACTTTGCCTATCTTTGTTATTTGGCGTGTTTCTTTCTAGATGTTGTTGCAATGCCCGAGTCCCACAAGAGCGACAAACAGAAACAAACGTCAGTGACAAACCTCAAACCAAAGTCTTTCGCAATTTCACAGGCATTGTAGAATAAAGGAGGCTATTCTCAAACACGAGCATCATGTACGCGAGGGTATCTTTGGCAGGCTCGCAATCGTTCGTGCTTACTTCATGAGCACCGAACGACTGAACGCCTGCCAAAGGTATCATCGCGAGCATGCTGCATGTGTTTTAGGCTTGCCGCTGTCGTTTGTTTCTGTTTGTCGCTCTAGTGAGACTCGGGCATAACTGTTTTGACAAAACAAATGTTGCGAGATCAGTATCTGAAATGTATGGATAAGTAACTGAATAACTCAACAAGAAAAAGAGAGTGTGGTACACTCATACGCACAATGGTCAGTCCCTGGAAGAACCTCGAATCAGAAGCCCTCTTGTAGAGGATGCTGTGCATATCCGTGAACCGGTTCCAGGGCCCACGGAGGTCGTAGGCGAGGACATTGAACCAATCGACGTTTCTGCACGTACCAGGAAAACGGCTGTTTACCATCCCCGCAGTTCTGACAGGGCGGCGTTAAATATTACCCCAGCTCGCTATTCTACCCAAACGCAAAGCAGCAACATCTAAGAGAAAGATAAGGAAGCTTTTAAAAGGCATTCCCTAGGGGAAGAAGAGCTCAGCCACTTTTGCCGATAGCGCTACCCGGAAGTCCTGGATGCCAACCGCCCTGCTTAGTAAGGGCCTCGGTTAAGGTCACGTTGCCATTATCGGAAAGATGAGCGCTGCTATGTGATGTAACATTCGGCTGATGTGTGGTTTTCGTTTGAAAGCACGAGCTGCATACGACGAGCAAGTGTTCCAAAATGCGTCTTTGACGCGTTGCAGCGCAAAGAGGACCATGCCAATCAGAAGGAAACATAGCGCACAGGGAATGTGCGATGACGAGGCAACCAAGCGAGTGCCGTCATTGATTGAGGCCAAGGGGAAACAAAAGCATGTGGGCGCGTTTGGGTGCTAAAGAAACGTGCGAGGTGCGTATGGAGCAGACGAACTTGCACGCCCTATTTGAGACTAATTGGTAAGTGTCAAGAACAAAAACATAAGTACTTGTCTTTTTGTTTTGGGAATATTACTACGGAATCTGAAATTCAGTCGTGCAGATAGGATTTAACTCGATATCCTTCCGAACCACCATACTTTGCCGTAAATGAAGACGGGAGCAGACGTCTTTAAAAATAAATGTTTTTAGAAAAAATGAGATGAACTCACCGAAACACCCGGAATCCATTCGAAAGTTCAATCACTCCACTATTTTAGTTTAGCTTATCCAGCGAGGATGGTGAATATTAAAGCTGCAGTCGTAAGGCAGTCTCATTCGACCAAAAACCTAACACCCGGGTGGGATTCTGCTAGCGGACGCCCGGCGGAGGACTGAGGATTCATTTCGACCATCTACGGATCCTTTGACGTGCAACCGAAAGCTCGGTTACACGGCGCCATCTCCAGAATAAGCCACCGCCACATTGCGGAAACCTCGCCCGTGTTTCGAACTCGCTACCTGGGGCTCCGTAGGCCGGCGTATTGCCCCGGAGCCACCGAAGCTGCCTTTCGATAAGGTGGATATCACTGTTTGTTACTGGAAAAGTTGCATGTTTTGAATATTGATTCAGATGTTTTTTTCTTTTCTGGATTGGCAACTACTTTTATGATCGAAAACAGCCTGTGAATTTGAGTGGTCATGGTACATCTGGAGTCCGAGAGGGCTCGACTCGGTCTTGTGTCCTCTTCTTTTTTTGACTAACATAAATGATATTTGCTTAAATGTTTCTTCGCGTCTTAAACTATTCCCCGATGACGTTGTTCTTTACAGAACAATTAAGGATGATGATGATTACTTTAAACTTCAATTAGACATAAATCGAGTATCAAACTGGCGCAGTGACTGGCTCATGAAACTTATTGCAAGTAAATCTAAAATGGTAAGGCTTTCGAGAAAAAGAAAACTAACGGAGGACATGCGCTATAATATTAACAACGGACACAGCAAAATAACTTACTCAGTTCGTTATCTCGGCGTTACATCTTCAAGTGACTTGTCATGGAACAGTCATATCAATAAAATTACAGAGGATGCAAACAGTATGTTGGGATTCTTTTGTTGTAATTTCCAGTGTTGCCCTTCAGAGCTAAAGAAACTTTGTTTTTATTTTGTCATTTCAATGCTCGAATATGTGTGCATAGTTTTGCACCCAAGAACAAAATGTCTTTTTGATAAACTAGAACGAGTGCAAAGTCACTGTAAAAGATTTGCCCTAAATAATTATACGTTCAAAGCGAGCGTCACAAATATGAAATCGCCATTGAAATGGAAACTGTTGTCCTGTAGAAGAAAGGACCTCAAACTAAAATTTGTTTACTCTTTTTACAGTGATGCAACCCGTATTGCTAGAGACAATTCTATTCGAAGTCCATTTTACGTGTCAGAAATAGCAATCGTTAAGTCTTGTTGTGAATCCTTTTTTTTGTTTTGTTCGTATAGCATTTGAATTGAATGTGATCAAACAGAATGTGTTCCCACCCGTATTTTCGACCGCCAGGTTTTTTGATAGCCTCTCCCTGCAATAGTGCGTCGAAGTCGCTGCGGGTATCCATATATAAATAAATGAATGAATGAATGAATGAATGAATGAATGAATAAATAAATAAATAAATAAATAAATAAATAAACGTACTTCAACGTATTGCAACATACTGCGCAAACTGTGTTCAGGTTTGCACTGCGTTTGAAGTCAAGTGCGACCGCTGTCGATGCACCAAAAAGTGCGTCGTCGCGGCGCTCATTGCCTTTAATCGTTTTCCATCAGCAACTACACAAATCACTCGCAATGACTCGGCCGCGCTATACGGCGCTTTTCTCCGCAGGCGCGAGATTCAGGTAGCCGCTGATAGCAAAAGCGACAAAGACGAACGCTGTAACGATGCACTGTTGACTCAGCTGCTTGATCGGCTCCCATCGGATCGTAGGCGTCGGCTGCGATTTGGATTTTACGTGAAACGGAGGAGGAGACGCACTATGTACATAAGACCCTCGTCATTCGCCAGAGTTGCCTCCCTGCAGACGATTCATTTTCTTAGTGGTTGTCGCTTTCAATGCACGCTTTCACCCAAGGTTGCCTTCTAGGGCCCTGAGATTCACCGTGTCAGTCGTGGAATGTCGTAGCCGTCCTCCAGGTAGTTCTCCTCAACGGGGACTGCCGCCGTCAGGAACAAGGGATGGGGATCGAAAGCTGCCTTCAATTCCTGAAAATCGGAGCCGAGAAAAGGTATAAGTTATGTGCCGTTCCGATATTTTCAAAACTCAAAAAAAAAAAGTCTGTGGACAATAAATTACTTCTTATAGGTTGTGAATGCGAAAGATGGGGGTCGTTGTTCCGCTCCCTTAGTTCATCTGCGGCGTACTGGCGTGGACGGCCACGTTCCGCTACTGCCGAGGTAGCGGCCGACGGCGGAGCGCTTGCTCTCGTGAACTTGTCGCGCTGCGCTGAGCTCGGCAGTGCCATCTCTACGGAGTTTGCCCGTACGGGCTTTGCAGCTAGACTCACACCTCTTACCGGCGGCCGGCCCGTTGCGTGCGCTGCGACGCCATGGAGACGGCTTTTCTGGTGGCGTTCCTTAGAATTACGCCGCGCGAGAGCCAGTGGGAGCCTCGTTCCTTGAAACTATGACGCGCGCAATAGAGGAGCCTATCATTCAGATTTCTGCTACAGACGACAGGCTTCGCTCCACTGGGACAGGAGAAAGTGCCGTTTGGCGTGGCTTCAAAAGCTGATGACGTCGGGGTCGCTCCATTTGCAGTTAATGCTTTACCATCAGAAGGGGGAGAACTCAAGAAAACCAGCGTTGGTTTTCCTGAAGCATTATGAGTTATAAACGATCATACACAGCTGAAAATTTCAGTCTCCAAGTGCCCTTTCGTCCGGTGACAAGCTTTTTTTTATCTATTTACTGATACTGCTCAAGTGTGAAATTGTACGTGACAAACCGGTGCGGCGGCTCAAGGGTATTCGTCACCAATATTTTGGTTTGGCTATTGGAACCCACTGTTCGCCACCGGGACACGGGATGGCGTCACATGCTTCGGAGACTGCGCAGAGCGATCGGAAGATTCAAAGAACAGGAGAAACACACTCTCGCCCGGTCCTAGGCAGCGGCGCCATGCCAACGTACGCCGTACCTCAAACGTAAAAATTTGTCCATTCGTATTTTCTATAAACCTTTCATGATGTTAAGACTGTGAATATATTTAGCAGGTGTTTCAGCGCTGACCGGACTGACCTAAAAACAAGCAGCGTGTTTCGAGAATAATGCAGTGAATGCGAAGGTGCGAGCGAATTAGAAAAGAATAATGATAATAATTCCTGGAGAGGCGGAACAAGGGAGACAAATGACAAACACTAATCTCCAAACACAAATACTAAACTAATGCGCGACGCAAAAAAAAAAAAAAAAATTCCGCCTGGTTTTTTTTTTTTGAATTAGGGTCTTCTCGATTTCTAGTTGAGAGGTCGTGGTTCAATACGAGAACGAGGTGCGTTTTTTTCAGTCGCGCATCACTCACCTGGCCGTATTCGGAGATTTACGTTCGTTCTTTCTCTCCATTCTCTCCCCTCTCCGAAAATTATTATCATTATCAGCATGGTAATCATTTCTTATAAATTCTTCGTTATATCATGACGGGGGAAAATGCACGAATAAGAAACAACCGCGTAATGCTATGAAGAGAAAAAACAAAGTAGACTGGATTTGTAGAAGTACAGTACATGCACTAGGCGCTTTTATAATAGAATAGCTGCAAAATATTCTCGAAGAAAAGTCAGCACATGGTTCCTGCGGATAACATAAAAATGCGGTGTACCTTAATCAGTTGTACGAAGTTTTCCTTGTCGTCCGATGTTCCACCCCGAGGTTCGTAGCCCGGGTACTTCCAGATGATCTCGAGGCCGTCGAAACCGTAGCGAAGCATCCAGTCCAGTGCGCTGTTGACAAACTTTGTTCTTCTTTCGGGCTCTTTCGCCATATCAGAAAACACCTTGCCGCCTAGATCCCAGCCACCAACGGCGAGCATTGTTTTCAGGAACAAGTGCTGAGTCTTCAGATCGGTGAAGTTCCTGTACAATGCTGAAATCAATTCACGGCAGACCTTCAGGTTTGTGTAGAGGGAAACAGAAAGGACGAGGTAATTCTGTGGCAGTTGTAAAGCGTCTCCACAGACTCGTGCGTGGTTTTATCTGATGTAATCTGACTTTCCAATCGGTTTCTAGATATTTGTGATGGGACAAGCATGTATAAGCTTGTTTTCATCGCCATTGCATACCCTTAGAAATACCAATTGTACGGTAAAAAAAAACAACACAGAAACAAACAAACATTGCGTAAAAAAAAGCAAAAAAACAGTAACAACCAAATCAGCAACGAGTCACTAAACGCTGAGTTTTCACCCAAATGTAGTACTTGTAATGGGTACCAGATGCCAAAGATTCAGAGGTTCTTGATTTGAATTCAAAAGATGAAACCCATTTGCTAATATTTTAAACATATAAATGTATGCAACGCATCTCGTCAATTATGGAGATGAATGGTGTCTACTACGGGGAACGGGCCCCGATTTTTAAATCAAAATGTTAAAAAATCGCCTAAAATGTATTATTTAGGAAACGGGAATTTCACGAGCCTTGGCATCTGGTCCCAAATGCTAGCGCTACTTTTTGGCAGAGACTTTGCGTTTGTCGAAGCTTAGTGTATATTTCTGGCGGCAAAAACGCGGTTCTAGGTTCTTCCGAACACTCGGTATATAGAGAATTTCTGGGCCCTCTTGAAAACTGATTTTTCAAGCGTGACTCGGAACTTACTTTCATCTTGCTTATACTCTGGAATCATGCTCTTGAGTTCCCAAGTGCGATCGTCGATGCCAGCGAACGCGAGGACCACGAAGGTGCAGTAGTCCAGGGGAACATCCTCCACCTTGTAGTTCATCGGTGCCGGTCGACTGATGGCCCAGCCGTAGTAGTAGCAGACGACGGGGACCTGGAACTTGTTCCTGGGAATCGTGATTCCCTTGGTGGCATCGGAGCCTACGTATGGTCAATATCGTATGTTAAACCTACTGTACTAAACCATACTCAGACACTGCACTCTAAATAAAGACAAACATTTTTACTTTCTATGGAGCATGGAAACAGTCAATCACGGTAACACTTTATATATCATAACGAATTACGAATACATAATATGTTTATTGTTTATGTTTATTCTTATTTTCAGTGACCCACCAACAGCTTGACGCCTCCTTAGTGGTGCACTTATTCCTGATTAGACCTGATTAGACCTATATGATTAGACCTGAACAGTTCGACGTGCGTAGGGACAATAAGTGAGTGAAATCTGATGTCATTGTCCTCGTGGATTCACTCTTTTGGTCTAATCGTATTTCAACCTCCATTCGCTGGGATCCTCCTTCTCGAATTCGCTGCCTCATGTTCGACAAGAAATCGCACGCAGAGTCCTTCATTTAGAGTGTGGACTCCTCTTTATTGCTATAGTCTGACAAAAACTGGAGGACCGCTTCCTCAGCGAAATTGCGCAGCCTCCACCTTAACACCATTTTTAGGGAGGTGAGTATGACCTAAGCTTCCTCTTGGTACCGAAAAGCTCAAAGCACCGAATGTTAGGCCCCGAAGTGTCACCACAACGAAGAATGTGAAGGCTTGCCATAGCTCTCCTCCCCATCGCGTCCTTGTTTCTTGTGCAGTGTGGATTTGTTTTCTAAACTTTCTGGGAGAAAAATTTCATGAAGCTATATATCCCGTTGCTATAGGCGCTTTACACAGGCGCCAAATTACATCCGCCATTGCTGACCTTCTCTTGTCTTTCCCAGATGCCGAGCCACTAAAGCGTGCCTTGACAAGCCTTCAGAAAGGCCAATGCTGTGGAGAAGGGCACAGTAGAACCTAAAATGGCAATAACCTGCCCTGCTGTGGTAATGATGAAGTGAAGTAAATGTAATAGGAGGAAACAAGAACTGAAGGTCGGTTATGGCGGCGCCCATGCACAGCTGCTGCAAAGCGTCTATAGCCTGGCAAAAACAGGAGACCGCAGTTGGTGCTACGATCGGACACAGTGAATCAGGCAGCGCCGAAAGTGCATTGTCAAGGCACTCGTTCTTTTTGTGGGTTTGCTATAGCAGGCTATACGAATCAAGCGCAAAAAGAAAGCGCAGGACCGCGGCAAATTCATTGCGCGTGTTTTAGTTTAGTGGGTGGTGGCAAACGAACAAAGACAACGTGAGCCGCAACAACACCCTTTTGGCATTGCTTGATTGTCTCCCTTGGCTTATAGCGTTCTTTGTGATTGTTCCTTACAGTGAAAGGAAGCGCATGCGGAGCGCAAGTTTGTCTGCGTTTTGCGCAGAAGTTGCGATAATGTCAAAACGACGAGCTCTTATTGACTGATTGAAAAATATAGTGGTAGACCTCGAGGGATCTAGCATTACACTCTACCCAGTATCCTTTCAATTACAGCCAATCGGAGCTCAGCGTCATTCTGACGTCACCGCGACTCCTTCGCAAGAAGCAGACGACTTGCTTTCCGCATAGCGAGGTATTATGGTTGCATCAATCGGATCTGGAAAGTTATATTCTGTTTTGTTTTGCAATTTGGTATTTTTTTAAAAATTTTGATTCCATTTTTTGATAGCGGAGTAAATATATTGACGTGGCGATTTAAAAAAAAATACTAATATAATGGGATGGTGTGTAGGTCAGTTTAATTCGTACTGTCACTTACTACACTCGTTGAACGAATTATCGCGAGTCTTGAGGCTGGATTGTTTGACGCTGTTACACGTCGTTGCGAAAATTTTTGCACGGATTGTTTATACGTTCGGTCGCTGTTTATGACCCATCTGTTTAAAAACGAATATTCAAAAAAAAAAAAATTAAATAAACAAGCTTTTGTTAATCGCACTCTGTCTCCAACAAATTGTTGGAGACAGAGATCAGAGTTCGTGCTTTTATTGGCCGACTTGCCCTCTCCCAGGGGCCGTGCACCCGGGGGCCCCGGTAGTTGCCCAGGTGTGCCGTGGTTGACGTAAATAAATGTAAATGTTGCTCATTTTGTTCTGTCATCCATGTCTTCATAGTTGCATATCCATGAGTACCTTGAAAGTAGCTAAGTTACTCGGCCGAAGTAACTGTAACTGCAACGCGTTACTTTTATCTTTAAGTAACTGTAACTGTACCTTAAATACATTGTTAGGAAAGTAACTGTAACTGTAATTAAATACTTTTAAAAAGTAACTTATTCAAGACTGGTGTTGAATTGTTCGCGTCACCCGAAGATGGCTCATACGAGTGAAGTGTCGGCTGACACTCGTATCAGCTGGCGTGGCGCTAGGACGGCGGTAGGGTCAGCGCTACTTATTTTTCTTTCTCTTATTTTTCACAGCGTAGCAAACCAGCCCAAAGCGCTGGCTGACCTCGCTATTTCCTTTTCAACAAATGCGTATTCTCTCTACCTCTCTCTCTTCTTTTTTTTTTCATCTCTTTCCTAAACTTAATTTGCTTCCCGTTTGTGATTTTTTTCTTCTTTATCTTCCCTTTATAGTACAGCTCATTCATGCATCAGTGGTTTTCCTCTTTTCTCTGTGGTGCGTGTTTCATTCCTGATTCCTTTTTATTTCACAATACATCAGCTGTAAGTAAGCGCTCTGCGATCTCCTCTCTTTCTCCCTGCTTGTTTGCTGTTTTTAATATTACGACCTCTGAAGAACTAGCTCAACTCTCCACCTTACTGAAATCAACAACATCGCATTTATGCTGTCAACAAGAATGTATAAGCAACATGCTGCTGGTCGCACCATCCTTCACTCATTTTTTTATTATAATTTTTGCATAGAAATTCGCAACTTTTAACACAATGATTATATTTATATGCTACGAAATAGGTAAAAAGTTTCTTCTTCGAGATCAACAGCCGAAAGCAGATCCGAAGATATGTGCGCCGTCTGTGAGTAAGTTTCAACCAAAGAGTTTGCTTGCATTTTTTGTTTTCCCCTTGTTCATTCAAAGCATGTCATTATTCTCTTTAATTTTGTTTAGGAAATGTACGTCGACTCAATTTAAGCGTGATAATGTAATACAAATTTCTACTCTGATGGAATTCGGGAGTATTGAATTAGTTGTGAATGACCAAAACGCATGAGTTCGCCTGGTGATACTTTTAACGATTTTTTTTAGTGTTTGCTCGCATACACTGACATTTAAAGAAATACTTGCAATATTGTTGTAGTACTCTCACATCTAAGTCTAGAAACACCTTTGTGGGGCGCATAATAAAAGTGCATCTTAGGCTGGCTGGCTCTTCATGCATATGGAATTCGGGACTATTCAATTAGTTGTGAATGACTAAAGCGCATGCATTCGCCTGGTGATACTTTTAACAATTTTTTTTAAATGTTTGCTCGCATACACTGACATTTAAAGAAATAATTGCGATATTGGTACAGTACTGCCACATCTAAATCTAAAAACACCTTTGTGGGGATGCATAATAAAAGTGCATCTTAGGCTGGCTGGCTGGCTCACGGTGCGTAGAAAAAAAAAAAAAAAAAAAACAACAGGGCAAGCGATGCCATTATAACAAGGACAACCGCTTTTGTTGTCGGTTCTCGTATTTTGGACCTTGTCATTCCGCTCTGTCCATAGCTCATAAAAAAAAAAAAGCGTACTCAGACACAACCCCTTTTTAGGCGGTGTACTCACGTGATGGCCCTAAAAAGAAAAATGAGTAGATAAATAGCTTTTGCATATTGGGGTAAAACTGACAAGCGCCGAGGTTTGCGCGTCACCTCACCTTTTACCACGGCTGACACATCGCGTACAAAGCAGGCCAACAGCAGGACCAGGGCCGACGTCCAGAGCCGCGCTGCAACCATCTCGAGGCTCAGGGCACGCACGTCCACCGTCCTGGGACCTCCCGACACGACTGCGTCGAGCCCCGCAAGCTCTTTGGTCGACTAGCGAAGTGGTGCTGTAATCTGAGTGCGGACTGTTGCTTTATAAATAAAAAAAAATTCCCAAATAAAAAAAAAAAAAAATGCTAAAACGATGATTAACAGGGTACAGCGCAAGTCTTCAAGATTTGGCGCGTCTTTCCGAAAGCGTGGCGAGTGCGTTGCGCGAGATTGCTGCAAACATGCGCAAGCGGAACGTTCCTCTATGGAGGGTGGTATTAGTTTCTCAGCAGGAAGTTTTTTCCTTCTCCCCCTCTTGGGAGCGTAACCGGCTCTGCGCCTATGCTCCGTTCAACTCCAAGCTGACCTTGGGGTGGAGTCCACGTGCTCGTTGAACCAATCGCACGTCTATCTTTCGCCAGGTGACCACGTACCCCCGCTCATAATTACGTGAAGAGAGCGGTCGTCAGGTCACGCGACGAAATGGAGGCGGTCAATTGGTTTGCGAGCTCGTAGCTTCCACCGAACTGTCAGCTTAGGGGTGTATGGAGGACAACCGATGTTGGCTTGGAAGACCCGCGTGCTCTGCGGTCTTGGGTTCTTGACCTCCACGCGGGTTGTCCTTTCTTTCGCGGGTAATGCGACCCCGTAATTTGATGCTGTCCGGACGACTGGTCGTAAAATGTTTTGATGATTCTTTTCAAGGTTGAATGGGAAAGTCCGATGGATGTTGTTTAAGGCAAAGTTATTTCGACGTCACTTCCAGTTTCTCGCAGGCGCTTGCCTCTCGTTTGTCTAGACCACCCACAGCCTTGGCGCAATGATGGATGGTCCAATTTTTCGCCAATCTCTTTCCCTTTCTCTTATCCTGATTTTGATAAAATTAATTCAACAATCACTCTCTCCCCTCTTCGTCCACAATATGACTACGGCTGCACTTGTCAACTTACCTCACTCTCCATATATATATATATATATATAATATTTTTTGACGATAACAGAATTGCATTTCATGAACAAAACGCAGTGACGCTGCCAATAACCTCGACTAGTGTGGTCCTTTGGTTTTAGTCGGAGAGTACAAAACTGCCACATCTTTTTTTGCGCTCTCGGACAGCTAGGTACATACGTCTTATTTCGTCAATAGCAGTCCTTAAAGTCCGGCCACGAAAATGTAGAAAAAAAAAAAAAAAAAACGTTGGTTGACATTTTTTCAGATCAAGCTGTCTTGGTTCGCTAAATGGCAATAAATCTTTGCACTCCCATAAAGTCGCCCGTCGAAGCTCCTTGTAAAGCCTGGATGTAATGCCGCCTTATCTGTGCGTGTTCTTCTTTTTTTAATCGTCAGCATCTTATAATTGACGCAGCGAGTGAACTTTCGGACGGGTATCAATATTCTCATAGCCAATTACTTTTTCTGGGAATCTTTTACTTGTACTTTTTTGCACATGTAGCAATAACTGAAGTTGCTTTCTCAGATAGCGACAGTACTTATAGTAATTTAGTTCACTTTCTCCCGACAGAAAAACCAGAATTACGAGCGAGCTGCTCTAATACCGTGCCACAAATCAGTGATTAGTGGCATTGTACACTTCTGATCCCTTTCCCTCCAACAGTACTGATATTTGGCGCTCTATGTCCTAACATGCCTCTGCGCCAATAAAGCGCAGTAAATCAACCAACACGATTATAAAAAATTTTAAAATTTTATATCTGATTGGATTTCATTGGCTCAAAGGCATTTTGCGCCATAGGGTGCCAAATATTAGTACTTTTGCAGGAAAAAGATTTAGAAAGAAAATAAGGCTTTAATAGCCGATGATCGAATACGATTATGGGTATGATTCAGTGTATAAAATCATGAAATTGATAATTTAAAAATCCAGCACATCAAGGGAGTAAGTTAGCTTTCCTCAGGGCTAACACCGAAGGTAAAGCAACATAAGATTACACCTGTAATCTTATGCACTTCTGCTCTTCAAAAAAAACCCCAGTCTCAGGGTAAACGACGAAATGGTTGACTTCCACCAGCTAGCCTGTACTTTGACTCTTTTCTCGTTAATTACACCTGTGTTGCTTTGCTCTCGGCAATATTTGGTGTATTGCATAATAAATTAAAATTCAAGGAATGTTTCACCAAGTGAAAAGTGCTTAGGCAAGAATTATTCCCAATCAACGTTAAAACAACCTCGGCCTAAGCGAATGTCTGTCTGTCTGTCTCTCTCTCTCTTTTCTCTCTCTCTCTCTCTATATATATATATATATATATATATATACGGTGAGAAGGTTCAACGGGGCGCTTGGACGTAAGACAAAAGTTGAGAAGTCCCAGGAAAGGCCTTTAGTTCACCAACGTTTGAAGCGGGGACCGCTTTTCTTTAAGGTGGGATGGTGTGTCAAATGTCTTCTTCTTGTTGACGTTCGTGTGGAAGAGGCGGGCACGTAGCCAGGATTTTGTTTCGGGCGGGAGGGGGGGGGGGGGGGGGGGGGCCGCCCAAGGCAAAATGCTCTCTGAGGGAGAGGCGGGAGAGGAGGGTCCCAGCAAAACGGAAGATTTCGGGGGGGGGGGGGGGGAGGGCCCCATGGCCCCCCCCCCCTCTCTTGGCCACGTGCCTGGGAAGAGGAAGGGTGACTATGAAGGGTATTAAAAATATTTGGAACAGTTGCAACAAAAAGATCCTAAATCTTTGAAATTAGTAATTATAAACATTATTAATCCAAATAATTAATACTAAATGAATTGATTGGTAGTATTTGCCACAGTCTTTGTTACACTTCTTAAGCACATTCACCCCCGAGCAACCGGAGCGCACACAAAGGTAGCAATGAGGATGTGTTCGGGATTAGCACCGTTTCGAGAGCGGAGATCTAGAGAGCGCAAGAGTGCCGTGGCAGTTTTTTATGAAGTGTTTATGTCATATGTTAATTATGCTTTCGCGCCCAGGAATTTAACGCAGCGGAAGGATTGCCACGGGACGCACGCTCACGAGGATGTTCACGAGAGGCGTGGAACGAGCTCACGATAGCAGGCGCCTTTGGCGCAACAATGTGATCGACGCGCTCGGCTATACTCTATTTCACCTTATGATGTACCGCAGGGAAGGCTACGAGCGCGAACTCCTTGCTCCAGGGCGCATCTCGCCGGCACAAGCTCTCGTGCATTAAGGGCAGCTGCCAACGCTATGAGCTCGCGTTTCTAGCGTTTGCTGCGGTACAACATAAGGTGAAACGGAGTATAGCACAGTCCGTGCAGAACTAAAATAATTGTGTGGCCTCGGCCCTACTTCAACTCTCTGTCGTGATCAGAGCTAAATCCAGATTCAAGAAGGATGATACGTATTTTTTCAATGCTATGCTCTTTAAGATCTTAAAGAGCATAACATTAAAAAAAAAACGTATCATTTATCTTGATTCTGGATTTAGCTCTGATCACGACAGAGAGTTAAAGGAGTCTTTCTTCAATCAGAAATTCAATTGGGTTGCTTGTGGTATTAATGCAAGTCCAGGCGTACTCACTTCGCTGCCACGCTCTGTGTAGGGCCGAGGCCACACAATTATTTTGGTTCTGCACGGACTCTGCTAGCCGAGCGCGACGATCACATTGTTGCGCCAAAGGCGCCTGCTATCGTGAGCTCGTTCCACGCCTCTCGTGAACATCCTCGTGAGCGTGCGTCCCGTGGCAATCCTTCCGCTGCGTTAAATTCCTGGGCACGTAAGCATAATTAAAATATGACATAAACACTTCATAAAAAACTGCCACGGCACTCTTGCGCTGTCTAGATCTCCGTTCTCGAAGCGGTGTTAATCCCGCACACATCCTCATTGCTACTTTTGTGTGCGCTCCGGTTGCTCGGGGGTGATTGTGCTTAAGGACTGTTACAAAGACTGTGGCAAATACTACCAATACATTTATTTAGTTTTAATTATTTGGATTAATAATGTTTATAATTACTAATTTAAAAGATTTACGATATTTTTGTTGCAACTGTTCCGAATATTGTTAATACCCTTCATAGTCACCCTTCCTCTTCCACACGAACGTCAACAAGAAGAAGAGGACGTTTGACACACTATCCCACCCTGAAGAAAAGCGGTCCCCGCTTGAAACTTTGGTGAGCTAAAGGCCTTTCGTAAAACTCTTCAACTTTTGTTATATATATATATATCTGAAACGGCATCCACTACGTAATATTCGTCTGATCAAGACATGCTATTTCGAGCGCCTGTGACAAATATTTCAGAGAGAAAAGACACCAAAAAAGACCTTGTTGCTTTCTTGGTGTCAAATTTTATCACCACCGCGAGTGTCATATTCCCAACGAGTTTCAACTTTCTGCGATACGTAGTTTATTTTTGCAGACCGAAAAACAGGGCTTGTCGACCGAACCTTGTAGATTTAAATATTATAGCCCCGAAGGCAGTGGCAGATCCAAGGGGGGGGGGGGGGAACGGTGGGGACGATCGCCCCCCCCCCCCCCAAACGCCTCGCGAGGCAACCCTCCCCCCCGGGGTTCTTCGTCAGATCGAAGAAAAAACATAAGCAATCGACGCGAGGGACAAAAGATTAAAACAGCGGTGGGTGGACGCGACTCCTGGGTGCTTCTAAAGTGAGGTTTATCTCCGTCAAGGTCACGGTACGTCTTCCCGATAGGGACGGCGCCAGAAGTTTCGAAGTAGAGAGACAGTGGGGAGGCGCACCAAATATCAGGGTCCTCGACTGCAGGCACACTTCCAAACAAAGCCAGCACGTCGAGCAGGGGGGGGGGGGGGAAATACCTTCAACGTATCTAGCCCCCTTTCTCTCTATCTCTATCTCTGTGTCTTCCTCTCTCTCTTTGGAGGTTGTCTGCCGAAAATTTGTGCCCTGAAATCTCCCAAACGCAGACGCCAAGCAGCCTTCCTCAAGGGTACGATCCTATACACAGCGGATTATCCTTCCTCTCTAGCGGCCGCCTTTTCATCACTTTTCGTTTGATGGTTTCTTCGTGGTTCTGAGCTTGTCTTTTGGCATGTCTTTTTTGGCTTGCTTTGAGAGGCTGTCGCCCACGGGCTCACTAAAGGTATCTTATTGGCACGGTGTGCTCATTGCCTAGGGAACTGCGGAGGGGACGTACCAGGAGGAGACGTTCCAGGGGGGGGGGATGCAGCTTGTACAACCAGGTGACCAATTGCTTTTCTCCTCAACTGAGAGAGGAAGCAAATGCTCTGGGTACAGTGTAGTCTGGGTCTAAGCTTCTTCTGAGGACGCCCCGGACTTCCCCACGACCTTGGCGTAAACATAAGCCCGCTTTCGTCCTCGCCTCCATCCCTCACTGAGGATCAGCGCCGCAGCGCGG